CCGAGACACAGCACATAGAGGATTCAAAACCCGGACTGTCCAAGTGAATCCGGGACAGGTGGCAACCCTAGGAACAGACGTAGCCCCCCTCCAGAAGGAAGGACAGTGTCAGAGATGATTGGAGGATCTACAGCCGAGTGACACACAAATAAGATACATTTTTGTTCAGAGTTCAGGGACTTGAATGTATTTTTATGATTTAACAATGGAGTCTAGTGTCACTTTAATACCATAATAATATTAATGGACTCTATTTTATCTCTTATTTATTTCCTCAAGCTTTGTTTTTCTTTATTTGCCCAATTAATATCGCTCCCATAATTATTAGGACTCGTTTCCCTAGGGACCATCAGCTGTGAAATACACTCCGGGCATTTGGGTTCCATAGAGACCAATTACTTCAAGTTATTTCACAGACATCGGAGGTATATCTACCGGCTGAGACCCGGGGCATGCATTTTACATAAAAGAGTCATTAGAGACATACATTTCTGTCTATTGAATAACAGATTATTTGTCAGCGATGTGCTGTCATCACCGTTATATTTATATCACCTTTATACTCTTTTATTTCATGAAAATAATCCTAATCTGAATCAGAGTTATCACATTTGTACATTGCTGTCGGTAAGTCTTTGACTGCGCGCCTCAGATCGGTTCCTGTATATATAAAATAAACACAACAACAGAGTATTCTGACCTTTTTCTGATCTTTTGCCACAAATTACCATATTAATGCTTTTACCACTGTGGTGATCCTCAAATTCTCTACATCAGCTCTCTCATGTTTCATATCTAGTTTGGCTTCACTATTAGAGTTCTGTGTGTGTGTGTCTTCATGAATGCATTTTAACTTTTTTTTTTACATTTTTTAAAGGAGAACTATGAGATGAGTGATTTCCACTCACCTCATAGTTCTAGCCGACCTGTGACAATGAGACTGTCACAGGTCGGCTCAGTAGATCGGGAGGTGAGCGAACACATACCAGGTTCGCCACCTCTCGATCCTGTCACGGCTCTCTGCCGTGACAGGGGGAGGGCTGGATTCCCCTCTCCCCGCTCCGATCTGCCAGCGCTGACTGGCGGAAAGGACGGGGGAGGGGGCGGGTACAGCTGGCTCTGCCTCTAGATAGGCAGAGCCAGCTGTCACTCACGCAGCTGGGCGGATCCCGTCATCTACGTCGGGATCCGCTCCGGCTGCGGGGTCTCAGTATATCGCGAGCTGTAGCTCTCTATATACTGAGCTTAGGGTGACGGGAGGACGCTAGTTTGTGTCCTCCCGTTACCCTAAGGAGAACTATGGGGAAAAACACTGACCCCATAGTTCTCCTTTAATTCCAAGTGTTTCAATTAAGAGAGGCACAGGGAAACAGTGTGATGTGGCTGGGGCTATTGCACACGTCACATTACATAACAAAACTTACAACGGTATTGAGTTTCTAATTCTGACTGCTGTCATTGGGTGTGGGAGAGGGCAGAACCCAGGTCATAGGTCAGACTACCCCGGTCTAAAACTGAAGGCTCAGGATATAGTTAGAGGATTTGTTTTAAGACGAAAAGATAAAAAAGCTTGCTCATTCACTGTCTTCTTTTAATTATACAAAATAAAGCCAAGAGTTTGTGGGCACCTGGCAATTTTACCTATCAATGTGGCAAAGGTATGTGGACCCCCTTCAAATAATAAAGTTCAGGCATCTCCAGTGAAGGTTCTGTTAATGCTACATCATGCAAAGACATTGTACACAATTGTGCTCTTCCAGCCTTGAGGTCACAGTTTGGTGAAGACCCTTTTCTGTTCCCCGCATGACTGTCCCCTGTGTACAAAGCCAACTCCATGAAGACATGGTGTGACCAGTTTGGTGTGGAGGAACTCAAATGCACATATCCCTGACCTCAACCCTACTGAACACCTTTGGGATGAATTGGAATGCTGATTGTGAGCCAGATCTTCTCATCCAACATCAATACCTGACCTCACAAATGGGCACCAATCCCCACAGACACCCTCCAAAATCTTGTAGAAAGCCTTCCCAGAAGAGTGGAAGATGGTTTAGTCACAAATGGGGGCAATGCAGTATATTGAGGGCCATGGTTCTGGAATGGGATGTCTAACAACCTTATATGGGTGCTCGTTGGAGATCCTATTCTCCAGGTGTTCACAAACTGTTGATCAAAGTATTGGCCATGCAGTGTATCTTAAAGGGAAACTATGGCAGTTTTGTATCAATATTAATTTATTTTTAGCTTGGAAGAATTTAAACTGATCTTTATATATATATATATATA